ACATCTCTACCACATATTCAAAATATTTGAAAAAAGGAACTACAAACTTCACCAAAATATAGCAGTTGATATTTAGTATAAAATTGTTTTTTGTATAGAACTTTATTAGTAGAGGCTATAAATATCATAATTGAATAATATCATCATTGTTTGTTTATTTTAATACTTTCTAATACTAAAGATTGTAATAGGTGTAGTGAAACCTTGTTAATGCAATTATTCTTACATGAACAGCATAGCTTTAGTTTGTTGATTAATTCATCAATTGCAATTTGATGTCTTTTATTTTCTTCATCTGAAGTATCCTCATTTTACTCACTAGATTCTGATTCAAGTAAATAGTTTTTAATCATTTCCTCAGCATTATGCTCCGTCTTCTCATTATTGTGTTCTATTTTACTGAGATCTGTTGTAGAAGAAGTAGGGTTTAAAGTTTTAAAAAAGAATTCCAAATCTTCTAGTATTTTCATTAATAATAATAATAATAATAATAAATTAAAAAATTTTAAATTAATAAAATTTTAAATTAAAAATATTTAAAATAAATTAAATGCATAGTGGTTTATGTATTGGGTCGAGTTCTTTGTTCTTAATATATTTATTTTTGTATATATCAAATTAAATTTTACTATAGTTAATTGAATATACACAATTAGTTCTCAGGCTGTTTAAGCTAAACAATAACTACCAGACTGTATAATAGTGAGCACTTAGAACATTCACAGATACTTACCTCAATAGACTTAACAAAGAATCTGATTTGTCTGTTTGACCAAACCGGGCTGATCAGATTCTTTATGAAATTCATTGAGATAAGTGCTCGAGAACACTCTTAGTTTGGGTTCTAGTTAGGCTTAGAAATAATCATTTGCTCTTGGTATTACTTATAATTGCTATTTTGGGATCAAATTTGCTTTTTTTGGTAATTAATATTCTTTGATATTGCTTTTAATAGAATTTTCAAGTTTTACAAAACTCAAATGATTATATAAGGTACTTATAGCACAAGTGATAGCACAATACGCGTAAGCAACACATCGAGGCGCTGCTCATGCTCAATTGCGCTCAAAATTTTTTTTGCTTATCGATTAGGTGCTGTTTATATAAAAAAAAAATGAATAAACGA